TTTTAACACTATGAGACTAGGATTTAAAACTATAATAATATACTGCTATAACAATTTTCTATATTCGTGACTAATTTGATCAGAGCTGAATATTGCAGACTATTTTTCAGTTATTTATAGTCTATATCTATAATGTTGCAGTTTCTCTAACAGTGTCTAAGATTGCATCCACTAAAATAAAGGTAGAAAAAGTTAGCTAGATTGTTTCTGCTTTTAATGTACTTTCATAATCAAAGCTTCAAATCATTCTGTATAGAAACATTTTCAATTATTTACTTTTAGCAATCTTTCACTTTTATCAAAAAAGTCACAATTAACACCAATAATTTCTAAGAAAAAAAACCATCTACATAGAACAATCCTAACGTATGGAGAAATCAGTCAAATCCAATTATTTTCGTACATACTTTACGCACTAGGATTTATAAGATATTTCCTTTCAAACTGCCTACTTTTATTTTAAACATAATAAACTACGATTTATTTTTTCGTTTTAACAAACGACAAATTAGCAGTTTTATATTTTAAGTTGGGTGTAATGCAGAAAAAATGTGTCAACCAGAAACCAGAAATAAAGAAAATATACATAAACAATACTCAAAACGAGTATGCAATTATCAAATGTGTGTGTGAAGCAAGAGTAGCAATAATCGTCGGTTTAATATTTATAATTGATTAGCGATTCTGTCACAATTTTTCACTTTATTTCCATAGGTACTCTGCCTATACCTTTTTACCGTACATGGTAAAAAGTTATAGTTCAAATTGTTATAAAAACAAATGATGGAGGAATCATAGATAAATAAGTTGTAATAGACACATTTGTTGTAACTACATAAAAATAGTTTTAATATCAGATTAAAATTAATGTTTAGCAACAAAACAGATTAAGTTACAGACTAGTGAAAAAAAAACAGTTTTTTAGAGATCTTTGGCGGCAATTTACATGCGTCTCTTTCCCTTTCTTTACTGATTTGTTGGCCCGAAGTGGTCATCGTCTTCTTTCTCTTTCTACCTACCTCGCTATTCCACTTACAGGCAATGCAATATCATCTCCCCTCTATCTGACCATAACTCGAAATGCGCCTGTCAAGTATTGCATTGCAGGATCGCCTTTGATGTCAGAGTCGATCATTTATGGTTAACCTCAAATATAATGTCATCCTATTTCTTTATTGCGTTGAAATTATCAGCTATAAGTCATAAAACCTTTCTAAATATTTTTAGCTTCTTTTTCCTTCTCTTTTTCTTTACAATTTGTGGTTTAAATGTATGATAAAACAGTTTTGCTTATAGACAATCATATTAATTGAATTTCTATATCAAGTTCTACCCCTCCAATTCAGTATCTACTGTTTAAAACAATCTACAACGACGCGGTGATCGTTTAAATACTATTTAATTAAACTTAATAACACTAAATTAATATTCCACTTTTTAATTAGTTGTTATTAGATTCGCCAGTATGAGAAACGATAATATAAGGTTTGTCATAATATCAAAAAAATAATTTGCAATCTATTTAATATTTGTTTCCTTTGATGCTTTTTTTGATTGTTTCTGTCTGCATACTGTTTCGAATTAAGTTGAGTAGAACTCGGTTCTAATCTAACCTTTTTAACTTTTTTTATCAGCTGGCAAGCTTTATTAAGTTTTGGTGGGAAATTTCTCTTTGGAGCGTTGCCATACCATGAATTATGCAGTTGTTTTGAGTAATAAAAAAAATGTTGGTTATGGTTACTGACAGACTTCGATTAACAACAGAAGAAAGACAAAGTATTTTTAATCTATAAGTTAACTGTAAAGTATTCTGTGGATATTTTTTTTCGATCTCGCATAGCGTACTCAATTTTAAATTAGTCTTAGACATACTTTCACTAACAAATGCCCTAATTTATATAAATAAATGCAAACTTAATAACTAATATTTACTAAAAACTAATCTACTAAAACCAATAAAACTTATAATGATATGATAGGTAATTGCTTGAAGTTAGATTTAAGTCAAGAATCCATAACTTGTTCGCCGATCAACTTTATAATCATTTCACTCCAACTGTAATGTCGTGCAGAAACCATCCCGTTTTAATATTATCTAATTTCAGAACGTACTAGTAGCGATGATGATCACGCGTAAGCGTTCTTAATTTTAAGGCATATATAGGCATTCTTGAGGATTTCCTCAGCTGAGCTACAGCTCTAGTAGCAATAATATGTCATGTAGGTTTAAAACTGTCAAATGTTTTTAGTTCTTTTGTTACTAAGAATGTTAACTGATTACGCCATCTATATTTCGGAACCTTAAACTATTTTATGGAACTACAAATACTACAACACATTTCTTGAGTGTTTTGAATCATTAATTCATTTAGGAATATTTGGAGTTATCTTGATTAGTATGTATATAATTATTTATATTTATATATTGGTAATCTATGGTTTCAATTCCTTTTAGTTCTTTTTTATTTATAACCCGTCATTTTATTAGATTCTAATAGGTAACTTTTGGCGTTCGGGAAATGTTTTAACCTTTTTAATTGATTAGAATTTCAATTCAGAATGATTAAAATGTATAGATTTATTTTGACAAAGTAGCGTGAACAAAAAGAAGAATATTTTAATGATAATAACAAAGACTTCTATGCATATTCGACAAACAGTGTTGAATTAAAACTTTCTATAAATTCAAAGACGTGCGGTATCAACTTACAAGAAATAACAAAACATTCGATATTTACTATGTTTGTCAACTTAGTCAAACCAAAATTAAAAAAAATACTTTTAAAAATTAAAAAAACATCTTTGGTTTGACTTAATGTAAAAATTGCCGCTAAATGATCTGTCATGTTAAAAAAAAGTGCCAACTACTTTTATTTTCGATGCTTTCTACATGCAATACAAACAATGCAAGTTTTGGTAAAGTGTTTTGACAAATTTTTTCACGGTGACAAAAGTCAACCGGGCCGTACGCACTCTCTCTCTCTCAACGACGTTATTGGTAAGTATGAATAATTTATTGGATATTTACTAAAATAGTAAATTGGTATTTTTTACAAGTACTTTACTTATAAGTTGAAACCATTTGTTTTACGATGTAGACGTGGATCTGCATCGTAACACTTAATAAATAGTTGATTTAGATGCAAAATACAAGCTTTATATATCTCGCCCACCGATGTTAATGATTGATGACTGAAAATATTAGTTCAAATCTGTTTGTCTAATAATTTCATAAAACGTGTCTGTTTAATAGTGATTGCATAAATGATTTTAATGCTTTTCAAAGATGGCTATAAAAATTGATAAAATTGGACCAAAAAAGCCAAAATAAATCTTAGAAAGAAATAAGATTTGTTTTCGAAAAATATCATCTTAGGTAAGCACATCCAAAATTTTTTTTTGTATACAAACGTCAAAATTATATCCAGACGTCACCGTGCATTCGGCTTATACCCTGTTGCTTTTTTAAGAAAGAAACATTTAAATAAAACATAAAAAGTAAGTTCGAATACACAACCATAGACAATATTAATTTTTTAAATAAATTTTCGTGTAAGTGTAGCCAAAGATACAAACAATAAAATCAGCGAAACCTAAATATTTTTTTTTAAAATGTATTTTCACTTTTTTATAATATAGGGTTCAACGTTTCAAGACGCTACGTAACTCTTATATTAATCCAATATTTTTTGTATTTCATAAATCATATTTGGTTTTGATTGTTTCGTTTCCCAAGGAAGAAAATAAATCAGTATAGTAATATTAACATTTCTAAACGAGTCTCAATCTCCACTAAAATCAGCAAATAAAGTTCGATAAGTTTTACTATGGAAATATTTAGAAATCCATCTAATAAAATACCATGACCAAAGCAAAATGTAGCCATACTGTAACTATATCTTTTACTAATTTAAATCGTCATAATGAAATCTGTAGGTCCCCTTAATTCGAGGAAAATAAGATATGCAGCCAGGAGGAATTTCATTGTTGAACAATAATTATGCCCATGCCTGGCAGACTGCAACATTACGATTGATGTTAATAAAATTTAGTATTTAGTTATCAACGCGAGTACTATCGTTACGTGATTCAGTATCAATAGTTTCTACGTAGATGGCCTGGTTTTCACTAGATGGCTCTGTTTTATGTTATAGCCAACGTAGACAGTGTGTGGCTAAAACATAAATCTGTCAAATTTTTATTCTTCGTCTTCCACATTTAGTAGTAAATTTCAGTTAAATTATTCATCTTTACCTAACGCGTAGGTATTAAACGAGGTGCTTGTTTACTGATTTAGTGTGGATTGAAATTCTAATATCCATAAAACCATCTAATAACTTAAATCAAGACTTTATTTGGATAAATTGAGTCGTCTATTGATTCCAGTTTCTGAAATCCTCGCTTGAATCATCAGTATTAGAATTGATTTTCTTGGAATCCTGTAAAGGCTGAATCCTTATCCTAATAAGTTTAACGAAATGGCTATCGAAATTCGCCTAAAATCACGAGGGTTTTAGTCATGGGTACCTCGAAGTGCCTACGAGTTATTTTTAGGATTCTGGGTTCTTAAAAGAGAATCCGTTAAAATTGTTTTCTGATTCTTAAAAATCTAGAAGTAATTAAAATTCCGTAAAAGTTCTTATAGATTTAATGGGTTCGCAGCTTACATTTGAATATTTTCACTGCTCGGAGTTTATGGTTACACAAAATACGACAGCCTCTTTAGATTAGAATTTGGAGTAGATGGATTAAAACCTGCTAATGATCTTCACGATCCAGGATATGGTTGAACCTTCCTACAGTGCCTATTTAGTTGACTGTCAGTGACGGTAGAATTTGCCATTGATATGTCTGGTTTCTCATCCACAACAAGTTCTATCATTCAAAACCTGGCTCTATGTCACCATAAACTCCAAAACCCCTGCAAAACCCATTAATTTATCCCAACAGCCCTCAAAATTAAACGGGAAACAGGCTCCCTAAGTGAATTTTCGATCCTTTTAAAAATGCAGCAACAGCACGCTCCTCAACCTGGGCCGGACCACGCGTAAGTAGAAGTCGTCGACCATCGCCAGATACTGGGTGTACCGGCGGGCTCTGAACCATGCGGCTGCTGAACGAAGTAAACCGTCCTCGCAGCGGCAGAGCGGTGGGGGTGGGATGCGCTTAGCTACGGTCCTGAAAACCATACAAAAAACTTTCAAGATATACCTAACTTTGAAGTTGAAAGAATACCATAAATCAATTTATTTAAGAATGCAATAAGGCGTTGCATGCCCGGAATACAGTGATATACAGAGGTAGGGTTGTTTTCTGTAAGCATATAATTGAAAAAGACAACGAATGAACATTCTATGGGTTATACCTATTTGCCATTACGCAGGTCACCTAAAAATTTTAATACTGATGTAGTTACATTGACGATTTCATAAGTTTTGCTATCGCTCATAAGGTACACATATTTTGTGCATAATTGAGAGATTAAGTGAAAATGGGGATCACGATTAAAATTTCTTATGGCTGATGATAATTTACCGGGTGGGTGTGCGCGGCTGCGCTGCGTCGGTTTGACGTCATAGCCCCGTGTCAAACATCTGCAGAGAGCGTGTGATGACGTCATCCTTGAGACACGACTCCAGGAACTCTTCAATAGTAATGACACCATCTTGGTTTAGGTCTAGCTTTCTGAATACACGGTCAACCTGAAGAGGAGATGTAAAAGTTGTAAAACAATGGGAGCTGTTTGGTTCTCAAACGAAAAGAAGCAGAGAGAGACAGAAAAAAAGAAACGAAGATATTAATAAGTGGATTTTTAAAGTTCAGATGTAGATTAACGAGGTAGAGGTAGATATTTTCGATTGGGTTGGGCTCACGCTAGAGGGCCTAGCCATAGTAAGAGAAAGAAAAAGAAGAAATGCTTCTAAAGCCTAATCCAATAGGCGTCAGCGAATATATAGGGACAATACCTATGAGGAGCTCATAGGTTCAAGTTATAAAGAAATAATTTGAAATCTAATATAGTATAATAAAGTAATCAATATGGAGTAGCTATTTATAAAGTAGTTCAGCTATTTCCCGCTAGATGGCGTCGTACCATTCCTAACACGAATGACAAAGCAGTAATCCTATACTTGCATTATGCCTTACATTATTTTTGCCTACCTGTTCATTCGCCTTTGCGTCATCCAGCCGAGCAGCTGAAGACCCTGGGGGAGCTCGTCTTCCTAACAGTTCGTGCACTGCTACCACGACCTCAGCCAGCTCTTGCCTGGTGATAGCTCCATCACCATCCACGTCGTAGAGACGGAACGCCCAGCGAAGGCGTTCGTAAACAGAACCGCGGAGGAGTGTGGAGAGAGTCACTAGCAGTTCCTGAAAATGGGAAAGGATTATTTTATATATATAGGATTATTATATATAATGGGTATATATATATATATATATATGGAAGTTTGTGGCTAGCTTTTTCCACTTACTCTTTATAAAAAAGTACACAAATTTCAGCTTCTTTTGTGTGTAAAATTTTATTGAAAAAACGACTTCGAAGAATTTTTCTTTAAGTATTATTATTTAGAAAAGAATAATCAAATTTAAAATCAAACTGCGAAAATTTGTAAATGGTGCATAGTGTTAACACATGTTGTATCCCTTGTTATAAAACCAGTATGTTTTCCGAACAAAATAAAATAAATAAAATAGATAAATTTTAAGCGAATGGTGAAATATTTTTGATGGGCTTTATGTGTTGGTCCTTCGAGCTCTATCTTCATATTTATTTATTAATTGAGCTATTTATTTACCTCTACCTTTCTTTCTTTACGAGCTTTGTTAGAATAATTAATATTTTATTCACATTATTTGCAACTGCTTTTTATGCAGTACAGGAAGAAGCAAATTCCCGAATCCATATTTCAGACATCATTATCTACGATTTTGTTAAAAGTACTGAACTAAATAACTTCATAAGCGAGAATAGGTTCTATGTAAGAGTAGATATTCCGATTTACGGAACAGAAATCATAAGGTTGGACACTATACTAGTCTCTTTCATAGTACTTCTTAAATAAAAAGTCATAGCGATGTGCTGTGTCGAACTGCTTGTATTTCGTACATAAACAGTAATTAAGGTTACCGGAGCCCAAATCCCCACCCTCCCACTGGTTCTGGGGGCAACACATTTGAGACTCTTGAGTTGCTCTCGTTTGCCCCCAAGAAAAAAAGCGTTTTTTATATTAGAATGATCTACAAATTATTCCAAATGTAACATCTCTATCTTGTATTTGGTATTGCTTTCAAATGGCACTTAAACTCTATTCATAAATATGTCAATTTGACCTATAGCGCAAGCTATTCGTAAATTTGTGTATAATAATTTTCCCCAAAAATATTAACATTGAAAAACCGATCAATGTACCTAAGCTATAAGCGGTCATAAACAAAAGAGTTTTAGTAACCACAAAACGGAAAACTTTATAGTCTAACTACGATAGCCTGGCTCCATGCCAGCTTCAGTTATATACTGGTTTAGGGTTGTCTGACATTTAAATCCGAATATAATGATTCCAGTGCCAATTTCGGGATTTAGCTATGGACGTTTAGTACCGTTCTATATTCAAATTTATTTGGTTAAAAAATGAGTGGACTTAACTGTATTTCATATTGATTGTGTCTTTCTGTAAGTCGTTTAATAATCATGATTATACTAGTTTAGACTCTCATGTTGAATGAACTCAAAGATGACGAGGACTTGAAGTTGAATAAAGTTTATACCGTACCGAATTTATGTTTGTGTGTGCGCTCACGAACAGCATCAGTTCAGTCACAAAAACAGGTTGTTCAGTATCACCGGCGACGAGCTGTTCTGTGGTTAGGAAAGCCGTTGACTGTGTTTTTGTAATTTATTATTGGCAAAAAAGCTCAACAGCACTGCAGAGAGAAAATAAACTAACCCTTTCTTTTTTTTTTTTTAAAGTGTGGAAATCCCCTCGGAACGTCACCCCACCGGGGTTTGCGGCGGGGTGGTGTGTTGGACTCGGACCGACTAAAACCACACGGTGTGCCACTCTGCGCCTGTAATAGGAGGGATCCGGGAACAGCTGTTATTAAGACATCCGGACCCCTCCTAGCGCCGGCCCGCTCCTGTTGCGGGCCCCGTCTCAAAATTTTCCTCTCTTTAGGCGACGTCCGGCACACGCGGACGCCGCCCCCTCGCGGCTGGCCAAACTAATGCGGGTGGAGGGGAAACCCACCCCTTCCACCCGCGGCCACACTCAGGGCGGCATGAGGCGGTGATAGGCGCGCCTCCGCCGCCCGGTTCGCCGGCGGCGGATCGGGTCCGAGTGGAGGTCGTCCTCCCGGGTCTTCTCCGCCGCCTCCTTCTGCGAGATTACTTCCTCGCAGAAGGTTGCGACCGCGGTAAAACAACTGACGCTACCGGCCATGGAGCGTACTACGGCCGGCAGCGAGAGATCCACTCCGATGACTGCAGTGAGGGCCCGGCGCTGCGTCGCCCATGCGGGGCAGACCGCCAGCGTGTGCTGGGCCGAGTCCTCACTGCAGTCGCAGTGGTGGCAGGCGGGACTCAGTTCCCTCCTAGCGACCGAGTGCAGGTACTTTCCGAAGCAACCGTGCCCGGAAAGCACCTGCGTCAGCCGGAAGGTAAGGGTCCCGTGCTGCCGCCCTGCCCACTCGGCGATGACCGGCTGGAGAGCCTCCACGGCGGCGAAGCCAGCGCGTGGAGTCTCCAGCCGGAACGACCAACGAGCCATCGTGGCTCGGCGAGCGGCTTCACGCCACTCGCGCACATCCTCGGGCGAAATAAACAAACCCTATACCAACCCGTCTGGCCAGCGTGGTATAGTATGCCAAAACCTCCTTGCTAAGGAGAGGCCTATGTCCAGCAGTGGACTATTTAAAGGCTGTTGATGATGATGATGATTGAGAACAAAAAATGTGGTAGATCCATCCTTTTTGTGTAGGTATATTGGTTGTGAAAGGTCACCCCAGTACGTGATTCATTTTATCATTTATCGTACAAAATGGCCGGCTTTATATTTAATGCGTAAGTTGTTTTTGTGGTAAAAAGTTATAGATTCACTGTAGTATCGAGTTGGAATATAGCTTCGTAAATTGCCTTAATGTTAGATAAGTTCTGAAATGGAAGTACGACGTGGCACTTTCTGCAGTTTTAATTGGATGAAGTTTCACTCCGGCCTGAGAATGGATTGGCTGGTACCAACTTGTAACTTTGTCTAGTTAGGTAGCGCCATCTATTGATGGGTAGAATGGAATAGTTTCGTGGGTCTGGCCAATGAAAGTTTCAGGTTTTAATTCGAAGCTTTCGAATTCTGTGGCTTTTCGTCTTATTTAGCACAGTAGTCACTCGTAGGATATCCAAGCTTCGGCACGCATTGATTGGCTCAACCGGTATTATATTATGTTCTTACAGAAAACTGGTATTAAGTATTCTTTTGGTTGCTTAATCCCGAAGAAGTTAAGGAGGTCCAATCCTCCTCCTCGTAGTCCAAGGGCGGCGGTAGTCCCTAAAAATTTTAATCTTGTGCACTTTTTCTACGTATGAACATTAAGTGTTTCAAATATGATATGTTCCCAGACGCCATATTTGTTTAAAATTAGGTAAAAAGATTTTTCTTCACGTATTATTATTATAAATGCGAAAGTGTGCCTGTCCGTTTGTTACGTCTATCTGTCTGTTACCTCTACACGCTTTAACTGCTGAACTAATTTAGACGAAATTGAAATTTAGAGATAGTTTGGGTCCCGGGAAAGGAAATTGGATAGTTTTATCCCAGAAATCATCCTTTAGGAGGTGAAATGGACAGTGGAAGATGGTATGTGTAACCGCTGATCGCTTTGATTCTTGAGGAAGAAAATAAGCTAATTTTTACCGCGATAACCGGCACACACGGGGACGGAGCCGCGGACAAAATTTAGTAGATTAGAAAGAAAGAAAAATACTTTAATTGGCACATTTTACAGGATTATTACATATTTACAACAGAAACATGTATAAATTACATCTGTACCAATACGGACTACGGCTCAGCATAATGCTGGGCGCAATGCACCTAGCGTTGGTTTTCAGCGCAGCCCAAGGCTGTTTTCCGCGTGTCTGTTCGATAGTGTAAATATACTATCATTATTATAGTAGATTAGAAAGAAATATTGGTTTGAGAATATTCCGAGAACAATAGTAATTGCATAATAATTTGATTGATAGGTATAGGTTGATAGGTAATTTGATATACAAATAAATAAAATTGAAGTGTCTGTTCGTAATGTCAAAATTATAGGTTTTTTCATGCTCACACGGTTATTTACACGATGCCTATGTCTAAAAACCAGTTTAATTTTTTTGTTCTTCTGTCTGTTCGTTCCGGGTAATCTACTAAGAGGCTGGACCGATTTCGATAATATTGTACTACCAGGTACCTGTCTGCAGAAGGAATAACTTAGGCTATTTTTCCTCTCAGAAAAACCATTTAAAATTTTGACCGTCCGGGCATCGAACCCACTAAGGCAGCGCTTTTCAAATTCCACGCAAACGAAGTCGCGGTTACCAGCGGGTTTTAAATATAATAGTAGTTGGATAGCAATTTCATTGAATTAAAACATTATGACTATGATAGTAAAAATATAATAATTTGTAGTGAATAATAAAATAAGGTGGGATATGGCACAGCACGGCATCTATGGTCATGGCACGCTCTCTATTTTATATCGAGACGAGATAAGAGTTACGCTGACGTCTTTGAATTCCTTCACTAGGTCTTCTCTTTATGGGTGGAGGGGTATTATTCCATCATTTTGACGCAGAGTAACGAAAACTACCCTTGAAGGTAGTAGGTAGGTATAGGTAGTTGTCGTATGGTGTGGTATTGGAAGCTGCAGTGAGCATTCTCTACTCATATTTTGGTTGTGCCTTTTTCTTTTCTTTTTGTAAACGGAGTGGAAAATCCCTTCGGATCTCCGGCCCCTTGGGGATATAGGAGCCAGGAGTATGTGGTGATTCCACTAAAAACCATTCCGACGGCCAGCCTTTGGCGCCCTGCTCTGGGCAGAACCCGGGCCATGTGATTTCGGGTCCCCCAGATCGACGTCGCACCTAACTAGGCCCCATCTCAGGGAAAGCCAGTGGCTTCTCCCTGCCTCTCAGCCTATCCAGATGTTGCGGCCCGATCACATTTTCAGTGCGATCAGGCTGCCATCCTATCCCCATTTTGGTTGTGCCTAGATGTCCATTTCAACTTGTTAAATAAATAGGACGGTGGACGGAAATCAGTAACGCCAAATAGCAGACTTGAGATATAAAGCTTCTGACGCGCATGCATTTTTAAAATGTTTCCATTAAA